TAATTTGCTGGGCATTCAGAACAACAAAATTTTGAATGATACTCCTGTCAAAAATGAGATTAATGCCACACCTTTCTAATATCCATCCCGTCACACAGGCACCCACTGGAGGTTTAGAAAGGCTTGAGTGTAGCAATGCCATGCACGTCTTCCAAGGGAGGAAGAAGATGATTAAAGAACACAACAAACTAAGAGGCTACAAGGCAGTTTCAGCCACGTGCAGGAGAAGCCAGTAACATCCTCCCACCAGTTCCCACTCCTGCTGTTTGGCACTGAGGCAGGGAAGGAAGGACCCATGCAGGGGTGGCCCACGACGGCAGAAAGCTTCCTACCTGACCTTCTAGAAGAAAAACACCCCCTCCTTTCCATCAGGAACTGAGACAGGTCTTCAGTGGATGCCTCGCTATTAACTAGGTGGTGGGAGATTAAGCGGTTTCTATATGCAACACTATAATTAAGATAGAACTTGTCCAGTTAAGGAGGAAGCATACTTGATTAAAAGTATTTCCTAAAGTTGAATTGCCATTTAATAAAACATACACATCTGTTTCTGGGAAAAAAAACCTCAAGGCTAAAAAACATATGAAATTGTGACTGAAATTACAGAATGTCCTACAGGTAGTAATCAAATGCAAAACTAATGCATTTCAATAACAAGAGGAACATGGGTGGGGAGGGGAAAGAACAAGAAGGACATAAAAGGTATTTCCAAATTTAATTCTTCATAGTCATTCTGATTAGGCTTCATGAAACTCTCCTTTGATCAGGACCTTCCAGCACTATACAGAAAATAAACCGTGAATTAGTTCACTCATCTTTTTTTTTCCCTGAAACAAAAATACTCTACCTAAGAGTATTGTTTACAAATTTTACTTGAGACAAATATTCCAGCTACATGTGGAATCAAGTATCCTCCCACTTCATGGGCTCCAAAGCTATATACATAATCTCTCACAAGTTTTTGTCAGGTTAAATCTCCCTATGTGTTTAATAACAGTGAAGATGTTCCCACATACAAAATGGTATCATGAGCAGATTTTGGTGCTCCAAAACACTAAATAGGCTGTTGCTTTTTTGAGATCAAATATGGCACACATTTTAAATATTATACATGACTTGGGCAAAAGTTCTGATCCTTCAACACTTACCATATATTTTCTTCTTAGGCTACAGGTGAGTTTGAGCTCCACCTAGCTCTCTCCCTAGAGCTTACTGGTTTTTTAGCATCCAGCAATTTTGCACATTAAGTTAACTGCAAAAGATCAACCAAACTAGACATAGTCCCTTAGCATTATTTCTGCTTTCTCTGCCTTATAATACACATTCAGGTTTTGATTTTTTAAAAATGTATTCATTTAATTCCCCCTTTACTTGAGGCTATTTGGTTTTGATGGGGATTTGTTGAGGACTGGTGAATAGAAAGTTTATGCTAATGCTGTTTTGTTCTCCTATGAAAAGTTGGGGTTTTATTTGAGAGGAAGTATTTTTTCTCCTCCTTAGGCATCATTTTTACTTTTTATTCATTTTCTTTGCTCTGGAATTCAATTCTCTAACCGCAATCTTTGTGAAGCAGCTTTGTTCTCAGCTCTTATCTACATCTTCTAAGATTATTACAACTGTAGTGGTAATTCATCAGCTAAAATTCAGTTTGCAGCATAATAAAGTCTCGAGCCACTAATTGCTTTTTCCCTGACAGGAATTTAACTTCAAACTGGCATGGGGAGGTGGCAAGGCAAACATATTGTGTATCAGAGAGTGTCTAGGCATCATCTTCATGTTCAGCTACAGAAGAAATCAAAGTAATATGGCCCGAAGGTGATAAATTAATTTTGGCTAGGTTCCTGCCTGGGAGGAAAGAACAATTTTCCTAATGAGATAAAGATGAAGGAAGACAAGGACCTTTAGGCAACTGGAATTTAGTCTAAGAGGGGCCCTAATAAATCAGGTTGTGCTTCTTTTTGTTTAAGGAAATACCTGTTAGAAGATCCAAAGCCTGTTTATTTTTATCTGACAAACCTGATTTTATTGGTAGTGCACAAACTCAGAATCATAAATTGAAATGAGGAAAACAGCAGGTGGTCAGTACAAGTTTCAATTTTTTTTTGTCATCTAAAGTAAGCAAACACAAAACCCAACTGATGGGACTCAATTTCCAGAGATCTCCTGCCATCTGGAAACTCCTGTTTCCATATCACAACTATCCTTACCTAAACGAGTAGATTTGCTTGGAAAACGTGCCCTAGAAATACTAGAAGCTTCCAATACTCTCACAAACAGGAACGTGAAGGACCAAGAGGCCAGGTGGAAGGGCTCCAAAATCCTATGTCAGCAGTGCCTACAGAAGACACAGCCCCTTCACACAGTGGGGGAGAGGGAAGGACAAACACTTCACAGACTGGGAAAGCTCATATTGTGAGCAGCAGATTTAACGCACGATCATTTCACTTTCCTGTAGCACTACTGGCATTGCCAACAGCAGCAGCTCTGGCCCAGGGGGGTCACTCAGCTGAACACAAGATGTTTCTGTGCTACGGTCTCATTACAAAAGCTGTTACAGCCTTCCCCAGGCAGGTCCTGCTTTGCCAGTCTCTCATTTCAACCTCTGAGAAGACACTCCCAGAAAAAGACAGAGAAATTAATGTCTCTGCCATTGCCTTTCAAGTAGAGTAGCCTGGGACCTCTGGCTATCTTAAACTGGTAGGGACGGTCATGACCCAGGTCAATCAAAACTCAGGCTGCTGTGAAAGCAGTAGCTCCAGCTCCACTCTTCCCTCAAGCTGGGCTTTGCCACCCCTCCCCTCATGCCAACCCAGGACATCATGCACCCACCATCAGCAAAGAATCCAGACAACTGGGCAGGAGTAGCTAAAAAGGCAGGACCACTCCTTCAGGGAGCTCACCCTTAGAGCAGCGCACAGTAGAGCGTGCAACCATCCCTCGAGAAAACACCATCCTG